CATTTTGCTTCTCAAGCTAATGCTTCTACCTCACCCCATGCAACAAAGGAGAGGCAGCAAAAAGCTAGTTGAAATTGGTAATTTTAGAAAATAAATCAGCAGAGAAATACAGTTAATCTTTAGAGCACCTCAGCAAGCTGAAGTTTTTTAGTAGACTGAAGTGTCCCTTTACATTCAATAAGCGCCTCATCCCATTCCCTGCTTAAATCAGTATCCTCCTTGTTCATATTTATTTTCGGACTTCTTGGCTGTTTTCTCTATTTTGAATAATGTTGCAAAGTATTCGCCTCCCATCATAATTTTATTTTTTAGGCATTTTCCTTTCAGTCGGTTTCTACATTTCAATATAGTGCAAACCTTAAGCTTCCATTCATATGTACTTGCTAACCTTCTTTGCTTGACTGTTTCCACCAAATAGAAGAAGTGGATAAGAGAGAAACTGTAGAGAAATGCGTGTTGTTATTAGTTTAATCCACATAACTGTGTTTGCCAGCACAGGGAATGGAAAAAATAGCACCTGCAGATTATTTTGTTTAAGTAGCTGTTTCTGCTGATGTCAGCCAACCATGAAATAAGAATACAGAACAGAGTTATAAAATAGCCTGTGTTGTTGCCGTATAGAATATAAAAGAGTCCTTTACTTAACAATGTGAATTGAAAACCAAAATTTAGGCTGGCATAACTGATTGGGCTTTTGACTTATTCTGCCTGGGTTTTGCCATTTGGTTTTGATAGGACTGCAGTAAATATACAGGAAACTGAAAAAAACAACAAAAAAACAACAACAACAACAACAAAAAAAACAGAAAAACTGTACATTTGAAAAAAGCATGACCAGATATTTAGAGATCGAAAAAATTAATGTAAATGGACACACTGCTTTCTTGCAAGCCATTTTGTTGCCTTTTGATAAATACTAAATAGATAAAAATAGAATAGTGTAGGGATAAAAATTTAAATTCTAAAATTCACCTGTTGTATGCAATCAAAAAAAATGGGGATATTTGTGTGCAGTAGTAATGAAAGGCATGATATTCAGTATCGGTCTTATTATCCTATCAGAGCTACTGAAATTGCTATTGGTGACTCTTGTTTTATTATTTATGAAAACAAATATATATATATATTGCAAACTATGCTCGGTATCCTTTATCAGTTACAGCTTTTCTCAGAGGTTGACGCACTCTGCCCCCAAAACAGCCTTAATTTTTATGGCATGGATTCATTGAGTTCTGAAAACATTCTTTAGAGATTCTGGCACATATGAACATGATAACATCACTTAGTTGCAGCAAATTTACTAGCTATGAATTAAGAATTGTTGAGAATTTCTCATTCCCTGACATCCCAAATATGCTCTTTTTGATTGTGGTTTGGTTATTGTGAAATCCAATTACATACAGTTTAGTATTATGGAGTCTAATATATGTTAAGAAAAATCTTCTTACACCATTACACCACCCTCACTGTTGGTCATAGCATCCACAAATTCCTTTATTTTCTCTGTGAAGTAAACATTGCAGAGTAACTTGTCATTGTTGTAATTTGAAGGAGAAATTAATCATGATGCACCAGACCCATCTACATTGCTAATGCCAGAAGTCATCCCCAACGACATTGACATACATGTCATCTCTTATAGCAGTGAAGATTTTCACTCTAATAAAGAGTCAAGCATGAAAATTAAAGGACCACTCTAGGCACCCAGACCACTTCAGCTTAATGAAGTGGTCTGGGTGCCAGGTCCCTCTAGGATTAACCCTTTTTTTTATTAAACATAGCAGTTTCAGAGAAACTGCTATGTTTATAATAGGGTTAATACAGCCTCCAACTCCTCTAGTGGCTGTCTCATTGACAGCCGCTAGAGGCGTTTGCATGCTTCTCACTCTGAAAATCACAGTGAGAGCACGCAAGCGTCCATAGGAAAGCATTGTAAATGCTTTCCTATGAGACAGGCTGAATGCGCGCACAGCTCCTGCCGCGCGTGCGCATTCAGCCGAAGGGGAGGAGAGGAGGAGGAGAGGAGGAGGAGAGCTCCCCGCTCGGCACTGGAGAAAGGTAAGTGTTTAACCCCTTTCCTCTCCCCAGAGTCCGACAGGAGGGGGTCCCTGAGGGTGGGGGCAAAACGAGTATGTTTTCCTGGCACTATAGTGGTCCTTTAAATTACTTATCGTATCACTGTCTTCTCATTCTTCTCTATCTCCCCTAATGTTTATTGAGTGTCTCCTTTTCAAATTACACTTCCTCCCCTTGTCCTGTCTCAGTTGGAGTCCCCCAAGGTTCTGTTCTTGATCCTCTTTTGTCCTCTCCTTATATTGCCTCTTTTGACAAACTCATTAATTCATTTGGATTCCGCTACCACCTCTACACCGATGACATCCAGATATATCTCTTCTCATTTGATCTCTCCCTCACTGTCCAACAACATGTCATGTCACTGCTTGCCTTTCTTTCATTTCTGACTGAATGTCCTCCCACTTTCTGAGACTCAATATCTCTAAAACTGAGCTTCTTATTTTTCCTCCTCGTAATAATGATCCTCCCTTTTTGCTCTCCCTGAAAGTTGATGGTAACTGCATCAGCCCACCCTTGCAAGCAAGCTGCCTTGGTGTTATCTTTGATCCTGGCCTCACATTTGTGCCTCATATCTAGTCTGTGGCTAAAACCTGTCTTTTCCACCTTAAAAACGTTGCCCGAGTCTGCCTCTTTTTAAGGCATAATGCTGCCAAAGAGCATTGCTTACTGTTATTCTCTCCTAATTGATCTCCCCAGAAACCATACTGCCCTGTCAACTGTAATGAATGCTGCTGCAGTGATGTATTTTGGATTTGTGCTGCCCTAGGCATCACTAAATTTGGTACCCCCCCAATCCAAATTTGCTGCACCTCTTCCTGTTTAAGACCAACATGCACTTTTTTGACTGACAGACACACAACCTCCCTAATACATGCACTGATGGATACTCACTAACGTACACACACTTACAGACCACTTACTCACACACTCTGACAGACATACACATTCACTGACAGCTACACTAAGATATCAGAAAATGCTAGTAATACAGGCTACAATTTCTTGCTAGAGATAGTGCAACTAAAAAAGTCCAGCAATGAAGTGGGAACAAAAAAGCAACATTGTAATAGCTAATAGTCCCTGCCAAACAATGTAGCCAATGCATGTCTGTAGCAATAGGAGTGATGGCAGGGAGAGGAAAAGTAAGGCACCCCTTAATGCCTGTTACTCCTAAATGAATGTATAACAAATGCCGTCAATAAATCAGCATGTAGTCATTCAGATGCAGAGCAGAGCATCTGAATGACTACATGATGATTTTTTGACTGCTGCCACTGAGGAGGTCCATGCAATTGGACGAAACGCGTAGGGCTAGTTTGATTAATTTGTTATTTTATTGTTTTAACTGTTTTAGTGTTTGCTGCTTTAACCCCCTGGAAATCTGG